AACTTATATCATAAGGCCACGAGTGCAGAGTGTGACGCTGAGGAAGTTGGATAACCGAGAAACCATCCTCAAACTATATCACACGTACAATATGGTCACACGTACAACATGATCACACGTACAACATGGTCACACGTACAACATGGTCACACGTACAACATGGTCACACGTACAACATGGTCACACGTACAACATGGTCACACGTACAACATGGTCACACGTACAACATGGTCACACGTACAACATGGTCACACGTACAACATGGTCACACGTACAACATGATCACACGTACAACATGGTCACACGTACAACATGGTCACACGTACAACATGGTCACACGTACAACATGGTCACACGTACAACATGGTCACACGTACAACATGGTCACACGTACAACATGGTCACACGTACAACATGGTCACACGTACAACATGGTCACACGTACAACATGGTCACACGTACAACATGGTCACACGTACAACATGGTCACACGTACAACATGGTCACACGTACAACATGGTCACACGTACAACATGGTCACACGTACAACATGGTCACACGTACAACATGGTCACACGTACAACATGGTCACACGTACAACATGGTCACACGTACAACATGGTCACACGTACAACATGGTCACACGTACAACATGGTCACACGTACAACATGGTCACACGTACAACATGATCACACGTACAACATGGTCACACGTACAACATGGTCACACGTACAACATGGTCACACGTACAACATGGTCACACGTACAACATGGTCACACGTACAACATGGTCACACGTACAACATGGTCACACGTACAACATGGTCACACGTAAAACATGGTCACACGTACAACATGGTCACACGTACAACATGGTCACACGTACAACATGGTCACACGTACAACATGGTCACACGTACAACATGGTCACACGTACAACATGGTCACACGTACAACATGGTCACACGTACAACATGATCACACGTACAACATGGTCACACGTACAACATGTTCACACGTACAACATGATCACACGTACAACATGGTCACACGTACAACATGGTCACACGTACAACATGATCACACGTACAACATGGTCACACGTACAACATGGTCACACGTACAACATGGTCACACGTACAATATGGTCACACGTACAACATGGTCACACGAACAACATGATCACACGTACAACATGGTCACACGTACAACATGGTCACACGTACAACATGGTCACACGTACGCTAGAATTGCAATACTCCTCTACTTCTAATAGAATCACACAAATCCCCCATTCCAACCCGCGCTAGAATTGCTGAAGAGTTGACACACTCACTCACTGCTGACTGCTATCTCTCAACGTACTAAACATTATAATACGTGCTGAGCACACAGTTAGAGGCCCACACGTTCTGTTAGAGGCCTGCAACGTGCAACACACTGCTGAGGAACATTCCAGAGACCGTCTAGAATACATTCCGCGTCCTCTGCAAATAGTTTCTCTGTGACTGAGAGACTACCTGCTATACTGACAGAGCACTCGTACACCTCCTACAAGCGTACACGCTGCACTGTTTACATGCTCCTACAAGCGTACATGCTGTTTCTCTGTGTATTATCCGACAATTAATAATATTACTCACTAACAGCGGCGAAATTATTATTACTTTGCGGAGTGAATTGCATGAGGAGGCTTCTCCAGTCTCCTCTCTAGTGGTGAAGTTGGGAGTGTTTGTGAGGGTGGAGTGTGACACACACCCTAACAACACCCTAACAACATCCTAACAACACCCTAACAACACCCTAACAACATCCTAACAACACCCTAACAACACCCAAACAACACCCTAACAACACCCTAACAACACCCTAACAACACCCTAACAACGTACGTGACCAGGACGGTGTGATTACTAGTAACTACTTGTTACATCTGTACAGGTTTGGGCATGTTGTTATGTGACATCATAGTGACGTCACAGTGACGTCACAGTGAGCTCACTGCTGTGTTAATGTTGGTGTAAGATCATGCAACATGATATATATGTCCGGTGACACATCGTAATGTTATCAGGTGGAATGTAATACTGTCTGCAATCTGATACTCACACAAAAGCGAAATAATCGCTTACAATTTAAGATGTAAATATAATTATATGTAATATAAAATATAGATAGTGAGTATAATACAATAACGTGTTTAAAGGAGTAAGGAAGTATGTGCTGTCATCACATTCTAACTGAGCTGTTTTATTTGACGGCCTGTAAATACACACATTACACAGTATTACACACATTGCAGGATAACAGCCGAGATACAGTCAACCCCGATTTACCGCGGCTATCTCCTTTCCTTCAAATAGGGCTTAGGATGTATTATAATGTAATCAAAAGAAACCTCGATTTACTGCGAACCCCGATTAACCGCGGATGTTTTTTTAAGCCGAATAGATTACCCACTCAACACTCAATTTTCAATTCTCATAATTATAATATACATTATATTAATAGTAATAGTAGTCGCTTTTTCGAACTCACAGCATATACATTATACATGAAATATAATACAGCTTTTATAAAGATATAAGTAGCCTTCAAAAAGGCGAGCTCAAGCAACTTAGCTCTCATTCCCTCTGCAAATCTGGAGCCATTTTCCTTGTTATACAATCTTTTGCTGGCCAAGACAGCACTTCTTCTCCTAATATCACCTCTGTTAATAGCGAGTTTATCACTTTTCACTATTGTTCTAAAATATTTGATAAACTCCGAATAGAATCAGTCATTCGTGACTCTAGGATCTTGACTCTTCTCCCTCCAAACCTTACGCCTTTCCTTCCCTTAAAAGTTTACTATAAGTACGATATTCCTGTCGGGCGTAAGCTTTTTATTATAATAGATTCCTTAAATCACTTGATAATACTACTATTTCCTCCATCCTGGAAGGTGATTGCCCCTGTTCCAGTAACCCTTATTGCTATCAGCCTCGAGGCCACATCATCACCGGTGACCTTGCTTTCATTGAGCACGAGGATTTAAGAGGCATCATGAGTTACGGTACCAAATTTAGGGAACCTGTGTCTGTTCCTCCTGAGCAAATCTTGGAGAGCCTCAACGAGTGTTCAGCCAACTTCGCCACCCGTATGGCTAGGAAGCATGGACTTTCATGTTTGGAATTCCAGGATTGGAAAGATGAGGTCTCCCGGATCTTCACCAATCGCCTTAACTTCCTCTCCTCCTCCCCTAATAACTTCACTCCCTACAATTCCATTCTACAAAGGGATGATGTTAAATCTTATCTCGACAGTCTTTCTTCTTCTTTTATTATTTGCTCCGTAGATAAAGCTTCAAATAATTATGTTTTTGTCTGCAAGAAGTTTTATCTTTTAACCCTTCTCAACGAACTTGGCTACGATCTCACTTCTCTAGAGTGTCGTGGCAATTCTACTTATCATCCGGTTAACTCTGTAGAGGATGATATTATTCAGGAACATGTGAACTTCATTAAAGATAACTTTAATATTCGTGTTTCCGAGGACAACCTTTGTCTACCGAGAATCTTTTGGATTCCTAAACTTCACAAGAATCCTTATAAGTCTAGATTTATAGCTGGGGCCAGTAAATGTACCACTAAGCAGATATCAGTTGTAGTCAACAAAGCTTTAAAAGTTTTAAAAGAATACTTTTCCAAATACTGCAACTCTATCTACAACAATACTGGAATTAACTGCGACTGGAGCATTAACAGCTCTAAACAGTTCCTGGAAAGGCTGCCTAGACTAGAGATTTTTAATATGCAGGTATACGACTTTACCACTCTGTATACCAATCTAGACCTTCAGGTTGTACAGTCACTGCTTTTCGAGCTAATAGATCTCCTCTTTAGTAATACGAATAAATTTATTTGTGTTTCTCTGTATAAGAACAACAATTTTTTCTCTAAAAAGGAATATAACGGATACTTATGTTTTTCTGCTGATAAACTCAAAACAGCTATTACATTTATTCTGTTTAACACTTTTGTTTGTTTTGGGGATCAGATTTTAAGACAAACGAAAGGCATTCCCATGGGAGGGAATTCCAGTAGCCAGTTCGCTGATCTTTCGCTAGGGAAGTGTGAATTCAACTACATGACACACCTAATCAAAGAAAAGAAGTTCGGTCTCGCTAAGCTCCTCTCAAGAAACTGCAGATATGTCGACGACCTCAACACCATGAACTATTTGCATTTCTCTAACCTAATCAGGTCCATTTATCCACCTGACCTGCTTATGGAGAGGAGTGGTGACGACAATAAGTCCGTAAACTATCTCGACATCAACATCTCGATGAATAACTCCGGACACGTCGCCACCAAGCTTTACAACAAACTTGATGACTTCAACTTTCCTGTGGTCATGTACACCTTTCCTAACAGTAATATTTCCTCTTCTGTTGGTTATAATGTTTTTTACGGTCAGGTCCTTCGTTACTCTTCCATTATCTCTGACCTTGATTCTTTTCTGTGTTCTACCAACACCCTTTATAGGACACTTCTTTCAAGATGTTATAATGACAGACTCCTGAAGAGTAAATTCAGAAAGCTTCTGAAAGACCGACCTAGTATTCTGTACAAATACACTATACAGTATACTTGATGTCAGCGACATCCTTGACATCACATTTAACGTGAACAGGTGATCACTGACGAGTGATTGCTAGGGGGTCTTGGCACATTAAACCGGTACAGGTATTAAACCCCCGAAACCGGTGTGCCAAGTCATCTGCTGATGATGTTCACATAACATTATTTCCTCTCTCCTTTATTCCTTCCGTCTTTTCTTAAACTTACAGTTCAGTTACTTTATTTCACCAGGTCTACCTAAGGATCAATTATTCTTTGGTGGGGTTTCACTTCTGGTATTGGCTTCATTCCCGTTCCTTTTCCTTATTCTTTATACTTATTTTTTTATATAGTTTAATGAGATAAATAATAATAAAAGTAAAATAATATATAATATACTCACAATATATAGATAATAACGCCCAGAGACCACATGTCACATGACATGTCGTACTTCTCCGGTCCCAGCACTTCAGGAGCTGACAATAACAACAGTTAATATAGCAGGGTACAGTGACGGAGTACCCTAACAACACCCTAACAGGAGCTGAGAATAACAACAGTTAACTAGTTAATATAGCAGGGTTAATATAGCAGGGTACAGTGACGGAGTACCCTAACAACACCCTAACAACACCCTAACAACACCCTAACAGGAGCTGAGAATAACAACAGTTAATATAGCAGGGTTAATATAGCAGGGTACAGTGACGGAGTACCCTAACAACACCCTAACAACACCCTAACAGGAGCTGAGAATAACAACAGTTAATATAGCAGGGTTAATATAGCAGGGTACAGTGACGGAGTACCCTAACAACACCCTAACAACACCCTAACAGGAGCTGAGAATAACAACAGTTAATATAGCAGGGTTAATATAGCAGGGTACAGTGACGGAGTACCCTAACAACACCCTAACAACACCCTAACAGGAGCTGAGAATAACAACAGTTAATATAGCAGGGTTAATATAGCAGGGTACAGTGACGGAGTACCCTAACAACACCCTAACAACTGCACCCTAACAACACCCTAACAGGAGCTGAGAATAACAACAGTTAATATAGCAGGGTTAATATAGCAGGGTACAGTGACGGAGTACCCTAACAACACCCTAACAACTGCACCCTAACAACACCCTAACAGGAGCTGAGAATAACAACAGTTAATATAGCAGGGTTAATATAGCAGGGTACAGTGACGGAGTACCCTAACAACACCCTAACAACTGCACCCTAACAACACCCTAACAGGAGCTGAGAATAACAACAGTTAATATAGCAGGGTTAATATAGCAGGGTACAGTGACGGAGTACCCTAACAACACCCTAACAACTGCACCCTAACAACACCCTAACAGGAGCTGAGAATAACAACAGTTAATATAGCAGGGTACAGTGACGGAGTACCCTAACAACACCCTAACAACACCCTAACAACACCCTAACAGGAGCTGAGAATAACAACAGTTAATATAGCAGGGTTAATATAGCAGGGTTAATATAGCAGGGAACAGTGACGGAGTACCCTAACAACACCCTAACAACTGCACCCTAACAACACCCTAACAGGAGCTGAGAATAACAACAGTTAATATAGCAGGGTTAATATAGCAGGGTACAGTGACGGAGTACCCTAACAACACCCTAACAACTGCACCCTAACAACACCCTAACAGGAGCTGAGAATAACAACAGTTAATATAGCAGGGTACAGTGACGGAGTACCCTAACAACACCCTAACAACACCCTAACAACACCCTAACAGGAGCTGAGAATAACAACAGTTAATATAGCAGGGTTAATATAGCAGGGTACAGTGACGGAGTACCCTAACAACACCCTAACAACACCCTAACAACACCCTAACAGGAGCTGAGAATAACAACAGTTAATATAGCAGGGTTAATATAGCAGGGTACAGTGACGGAGTACCCTAACAACACCCTAACAGGAGCTGAGAATAACAACAGTTAATATAGCAGGGTTAATATAGCAGGGTACAGTGACGGAGTAATATTAAATAAATGTAGAAGTTTGCTACTTAGAGCTAAAGATTTAGACGTCTACCTATTTAGAGATAATTAGCGCTATCTAGCGTCATCAGGCGTCATTTCACGCTAGATGACGCTAGATGACGTCATTTCACGCTAGATGACGTTAGATGACGTCATTTCACGCAAGATGTCGAATTTCAAATATCGGTAAAGGTCCGAGTTTGAGATGTCTACCTACTTAGAGATCGAGGGTTCTAAGACTCCTAGCTATTAGTATTTAAAGTTTGAGATGTCTGCCTCAAAGAGAGCTGAGAGCAGTAATGTTGTCAGACCAACATTACCGCTCTGGAGAAATCAATAATATTTATTTTCTAAAATGATGGTGCATGATGTAACCTAAACATATTGTGGCTCGATGCTATTTATAGCTCTGATAGGGTTATATTCATTTATTGGATAGGTTGATGTATGAAAATGGAACCATGTAGTAGCAGTACAGGATGGAATTGTTAAGTTCCCTTAAGTTGCCTTTATGATAATCTTATATCCCAGGGCTTTGCTATAATCATATTATATCCTGTATGTCTTAATACGATTCCTTTACTATCCTTCAATAAAACACGGTGTAGTTATTGGTTAACAATAATACACATCAAGTAGTAGTTAGTACTCTAATATGACACCTCCTCATGCAGCAAACAAAGCCAGTACAAGCAGTCACTTTGTTATCTATACAAATAATACCACTGAGAGAGTATGTCCCATGAGACTCTATTGTACAGCCAATATGTTAACCACCAGAACCACCTCGTCCTCCACCACTTCTATTTCCAACATGTTAGTGTGTCCTGTGTTTGCACAGTGGTTGCTGTTTGCAGCAGCCCTGGAGACCGTTTTATCCTCACTGCACCATTTTGACCTGGCTAAAGCACCAGTAATGAGAATAGCGCGCTGCACCATGAGACTCCACAACAACGGAACAGAGATCGGAGACGTGGAGTTCTGGTCGGACGGCACAAGTCAACAGATGGAGGTGAGACTGGAGAGTACGGCAATTAAAGAGGGGAACCACGGTCTACACGTACACAAGGACAGTGTGCAGGGGTACGACTGTGGTTCTACATCCGGCCATTACAACCCAACTGACAAGGAACACGGCAGTCCTCTGTCTTTTGACGAGAGCCGCCATGTGGGGGACTTTGGTAATGTCAAGGCTGATGCTAAAGGTAGGGTTAACTGGCAGTCTAAGTTTGTGGTGAGGGGCAGTGGAGATACTAACCATGCTACCATTCATATTGAACCCCTTTTATTGGAGAAAAGAAGGAAACAGAAGAAGAGTAAGAAGAGCAAGGGCGGAAAAGCAAAGCAAGATAAAGGAGGAAAAAAAGGCAAAGGAAAAAAAAAGAAGAACAAACCCTTCATTGAGGGTGTGCCTTCGCCAGAAATTGCCATTCAACCAGTACCAGAAATTGCCGTTCAACCAGTACCAGAAATTGCTGTTCAACCTATACCAGAGCCAGAAATTGCCGTTCAACCAGTACCAGAAATTGCCGTTCAACCAGTACCAGAAATTGCTGTTCAACCAATACCAGTACCAGAAGATGTCTATTACGTTCCCCCGCCACGCCCGCGCCCTGCCTACATGTTCTACGCAAGGTACCTGGTCAACTCTATGCGCTTTACTCTGGACGGGGAACAGTCCATAGTGGGACGATCAGTAGTACTACATGCCGGGACAGACGATGAGGGTAAGGGAGGGGACGAGGGGAGCAAGGCAACAGGAAATGCTGGTTCACGTGTTGCTTGCTGCACTCTCGTGGAGGTTTAAACAGGACAACCAGTGTCCAGTACGTTACTATGGTTACAACAGGACGTTATTTGAGCATTCTTTTTTTTTTAATATTGCGAAATTTAATATGCGAAATAATGGATTTTTGATGATGTTATGTTAAATTTTGATATGGATTCATTGAAATTCAAGTAGTGAATTTGTAAGAATAAAACTAAAATTATGGTGAAACTGTTTGCATTGACTTCTTTGAATTTGTTCTAAAATTAAAATGAAAAATCGAAAGATCACAGAAACGATTTATTTAATCTGCACTGCTGAATTTAATAGGTGCGGTGTGTCTAATTACATTACCAATTAACTATTACCTGCAGCGTAGTAAGGTGTAATTAACTAATTAACTAATTAACTATTACCTGCGTAGTAGGGTGTAAAACAGGGAGTCTTCAGTTTCAAACCGCTCACAACCTCGCTAGCAAACCCAAAGTCTGTTAGTTTTAACGTTGCATTCGCGTCATGGTTCTTGAATAACAGGTTCTCAGGCTGCAAAGAGAGAGAAACTATTTAATTGATATCTCAACAATCTCGTCACATTATTTTATGGTTGAAAGCCTTGTAAAATGTAAATGATTCTCCTTAAAAGTCCACTAAAAAACCATTCGAGACGGCCTGTGATAAATTCCAAGCCAGACCGGTGTGATGTAATCTCTCTCTCTCTCTCTTCAGACAGATAGTTGTATCACACAATGCCACCCATGTCAACATGAACATTTAGAAAGTCGGCGACATTCATTTGTTTGGGTCGTGACGTGCTTGTTTCACTGTTATTATTATACACGTATTATATAACGTGTAAACTACTGTGTTGGCCGGTGTCTGTTTTATCATTATATAATCATCTTCTGGTCAAACACAACTAACATTGTCTAAAATAAGTAACACCAGAGCTAGCGGCGTCATGATTTAAAGTCGAGAAACTTTAGTGGTTTAAATTAATTTGATTGATAAAGAAATCTGACCTTGGTTCATAGAAGTACCAGGAGTTTTTAAAAACTATGAAAATTGTTGCACAGATAAGTTAACTTTGAAATGGTAAAATTGTAGAATCATAATGTTATGATAAATTTACCTTTATATCCCTATGTGCGACATTCTTTGAATGCAAGCAAGACAGAGCCTCGCATATTTGCCTGGTTATTATGCTTGCTTCTTTCTCAGTAAAAGCATCATCACCTTTAGATTGAATTCTTTCGAATAACTCTCTGCCCTCCATACTGAGTGAAGTTGCATAGGTTAAGTAAAATATAAACTAACTCGTGTAAATTGTTTACAGGACAGAAGTTTACTACAAGTTTAGATATTTTATGAAACATTTTAACTTACCATTCCATAACCATAAGGTAGCATTTGGTGCCAGAGAATGTGTTCTCGTAGACATCAACCACATTGACTATATTTTGATGGGATCGTACCATCCAATGCAGGGCACACTCTCTGTACGCCTTCGCACTCTTCCTCAGAGCCTGGTATAATAGGTTATTAGTAGGTTTAATAGGTTATTAGCCTGGTATAATGGGTTATTAGTAGGTTTAAAACACAAGAAGATATATTCGTCCGAGAGACCGGTGTTAATCAAATAGCTTTTCAGTAAAAACGGTTTCATAATTGCCATAAAGTTTAAAATATGCAAGAAACTCACTTTTAAAGCATATTTCTGATTAGTTTTCTTGTTGAAGCACTCAACGACCTTGCCATTAATTCCAACACCAAGAGTACGGGAGGATATGGTGTAATCATTGGTAATATTAGTGGTTTTGAATTTTATTGTCCCTAAGTTAAGGGTTGTAGGTGGTTGTGGTGGGGGCGGCTGTTGCCCATTTCCCTCTTTCTTGAATATGTGAAACGGCATGTGTTCTACCTAGAAAAATAAATTGTGTTCAATTTTTAACAATCAGTTATCATTAAAGAAATATACATTCAGTTCAGAATTGTAATTAGTTGATCATGGTGAAATATGGTTTTCAATCAAAATCCCCCAATGATAACTGTGCACAGGAAATATTATAGAATATAAGTATAACAGAATCAATTAATGATACACCACTAAACACGATTGAGACCTAATTAACTCTGTTAAAAGATCTAACATCTAGTTTACGTGCATTAGTAAAAGAAGAAAAATAGTACAAGTTTTTAATCAAAACCTGCAGCAATTTTTAAAATCGGCTATATTTGTTTTAATTAGTGACTGAAAGTCTGGTATAAATAGTGTGAATGTTTGTATTTCCATTAACATAGTTTAATACTTTCAATTACTACTATATAACTGTTTCAGGAGATATGTTCCCTGTTTATGTGTCTTAGGCTAGTGGAGCCTTGTTTGATATCCCTTCCCTTATACCCTTGGTGTTTCATTGCTTTCACTGGTACTTGCCATTTCACAAATAGTATTCAAATGAATAAGTGTATGCATTCAGATAATTATATCGAATTTTCATTTTAATATGAGAAGAAGAAGGCCTGCATGAAGATCGCTGAGATCAGCCTGAGGGCATTGTATACCATCTATTTGTCCAGAAACACTACCATATGGACAGATGATTGGGAGTTAGTCAAGAGACCAGTAATAGCATAGTAGGAGCAATGTTTGGGCCCAGAAAAACATGTTTAATACCGCTATGAACCCGTCATAAGCCGGAGACTACTATGAAAGTGATGATGCTGTGTTGTTGAAAGACCTTTGACCAATCAAAGATGTACCTCATCTTGCCAAGCAGTTATGCTTGTAGGTGAATTATATACACTTATAGATTACAACAACTTTATAACACTCCCCACAACATTGTCATTAGGACTTTTCACAATCTGGTTAGTTATTGAGTAAAGGGTCAAATCTTTAGAATACGTTTCTTGAGCTGTCAAATGCATGTGGTAAAATAGGTTCACTAGGCTCAATTAAATCCCAATTGAAGCATTCTATCATGAAGGCTCAACACCAACCTGACAATATTAACTGGCAGGACTTAAAGGATGAGGGGACCTTAGAATTTACTTCCAAATATTCGCGTTTAAGTCCTGTGAAAGTGTGTAGAATCAAAAAATACGCCGGACTGTGAAATCAATAATTTGTGCAATATCACGCCGCGCTCCTATTGGCTGATAGCAATTTTGGGCTGTGACGTCACTTATGTGTTGAGACCAACGTGCGCGCGCACCCTTTGCTCGTGTCAACATTTTGTTCTGTTAGCTGTTTTAATTACGTCGTTTTACCTTTGGCGTTTGCGAGAGCGGTATCTTTGGTTGCACTGAATTAGTCTAAGTTACGAATAATTCTCTTTAAGAATAATTTCTCTGGTCTTCTGACGTATGCTGGCCTGATTAGACAGCCCATCATGGAATATTATTATATATATATTTTACTTTATGAATGTCATACTCTCTATAATTTGCCCCTCGCACCTGCAGTAGAACGCGCCGTTTTTACTCTTATGAAACAACCCGAAACAATGGCGCGTCACGCAGTACGTGAGTGGCTAGATTATAGATTGTTCTATTATAATATTATTTAATTATGTTATTTTGTTGTTATGTCGTGTAAGTTTGTGGAGTAGTAGCAAGAAGGTATCGTATACATTTAAATTTGTTCTCTTGATTATTTATTAATGATTTTATGTAGGGTCGGCACCAATGTAATTATGGTCTTGCCACCGTGTTTTGGTTCAGCCGAAATAAATTTTACCTTGATGTTTTTACATATTGTTTCTCACTCCAGCTGAGTCTGGTAGTGTTTAGTATCATGAATATTTTTCTAGCTCTCTTTTTCCATGTTTTTGCTTCACAGGAGATATTGTGGTCTTTTTATTGAATATAACTGTAACTTGATGTAAAGTTTATTTGAATTTTGAAATAAAAAAATAATAATAGTTAAATGTAACTCAGAAAGGCTTTCTTGTAGTTGTAGTAGGTATTTCTATTTATAAATAGCTAAGATAAGTAGCATCCGCTAACTAAACCACAAACTGCTATTTTGTTTTGACTTGTTTGAAACCCGATATGGACACAATTAAAAAGAATGTATGATGTAGTAGAAGACATTTTACTAGCTGGCCCTTGGCGCCTCTAGTCCTATCTGAGTACGCACGTGCGGTTTGACACTGCGCGTGTACCGGCCTTTAGTTGTACACTCATTTATAATTTACCGTTTTAGTTTGCTGTGACTTGAGTGTAAAGTGTAACGAATGTAGATGTGTTCGTCTGCTATGCTTGGTATAATATTGCTTGGTGTAATAGTTGCAAATCTTGCTTACGTTATAAGTAGTGTCACATAGTGAGTTAGAACTTAAAAGCTTGGTGCTTGGTGCTTGTCCAACTGGAATGAAGACATGCATTTCATACCTACCCGATCCATTTTTATTAGGACCGTGTTGTGTTGATATGACATGTTGATATATCAACTGTGGTACGAAACAGGGAGTTGCTAGGTGTTACGTTGGGAGCTATAGATATACATAATTTACATGCCTTTCTGTGTGACTTCAATCTTATTCCAGGTCTATCTCGGCTCATGGTTATCGTAGGGTGATAATTCTTTTTTCAACCGGTCATAAAAAGTCTCCTCTCCATTGGTTATAGGCTCGATAGTATCGTAAATTGTTAATTTATTCTTAATTAGTAATTTAGTCGGCCCGCACGCGCATTTTACCTGTATTTCTATATGCGCGGATCAGAGCAACTCACATAATTGACGTCACAGGTTCAAATTGTTTTGGCTGGATATCTCGGCGCGCGAATGAAATACAACTTTGCGGATTTCACTAAAGTGGTTTATACGATTAATGTAATAAAAGGATTTGCACGAGAAAAAAACTTTTTCTAAGGTCCCCTCATCCTTTAAATTTCAACAATTTCCAATGAAAAGACCCCATTTATATCTTTTTTCATTTTACACCTGTCACTCACATCATATATAATATACATTATACACCACAAAGGAAACAGATTCAATCGATCATTACATTCTACACTCATTCCACCACACAAGCACACAAACCATCAAAGCAGGTTACACACGGGTGTACCGTTCACTTTATCTGAAGGAGAAAAAATGATATTTTATGTAACTCGCGATTTAGTAGCTAAAATACGCAAGCGCTACTTGCCAGATCGACACAAATGTGCGAGCACTTACGCGGCTCATTTAGCTAACACTCATGTTTCCATCGGGCAATGGTTCAGTTTAATTATGGGCACAGTCTGTCAAAACCTCTCGACGTATGATCTGTCGACACCGCCTGAAGGTGACTGCATAATAACGGATCAACGTGGAATCATACGATGATAAGCTTGCAGCTCCTGATGACAATGTTGGTTTTAATCTGGTGTCATGCTTGAGTTGGTTTTGGACCTCTTCATGCTTCTATTTTATTTGTTATTGGTATTTGTTATTGTGAGCTAATATGTACATATATACGCTAATATGTACATATTACTTACTCTACTTTATACGCGGTATCTAAAAGTGTATGACAAGCATATTTAACAATTTTATAATCAATGTATTGCGAGCAGCTGTGACTTAAATATTACATGACAATCATATAACTTAAAACTTACATTTTACTGGAATATAAGGAAAACAAAATTAATATCAGACCCGTCGCCACTCTCAGCAGTCAGCCAGGGCTCATAAAAGCTTAAGAAAACAACAATTTCAAGAAAACAACAAAATAATAGCGCCTGGGTCCTTTAATAGCGCCTGGGTCCTTTCACCAGCTATGATAATGTGAGTGGCGCTGTTGTCAGACCCACCCCAACAGCGTGTACTATTGATTAATGCAAGCGTGTTAGCTGCTAGCATACTTGTATAATTTACTTTGAAATCAAGCTTATTTGGATACATATTTATTGATTGTGTATTGAATTGGTGATAAATAATAAAATTGTCTTTTCTCAAACAAAAATTGTCTGTAATCAATTTGGTTCCTCTCGGACAATTGAACTGTCCATGACGTGTTAAGCAATCGCCCCAGATGAATAAATGATTATGATGATGATGATGATAAAAATCAAATATTATAGGCTAAAATGAGCATTTTAGGAACAAATAGCATGATAGATCAGAAATAGAAAAATAAAATCCCTAAAACTATTTACACCATAAGTTAAAAACATAAATACTTTATTTTCAAAAACACTATCAAATAAGGTGGTTGATCAGTCACTTGTGTCATTACAACGTAGTCGTTATATCATAGTAGAGGCTCTTACGGGCATTGTCTGCTCGATACGTTAGGGACCCCAGATACACCTTACTAGACGTATTTTTGACCGTAGAATCGATTGAAAGTGGTTTCAAGATGATTGGACTGATTGTTCTGGGGTAAAATCGCAAAAAAACCGATTTTTGGGCCAAAAATAGGCCAAAAAAACCATGTTTTTTGATATTTTGAGCAAGTTAATTTTGTTGGCATGTCGGCAAAACTTGCATAAAGATAGCTAAAAGACAGCCGCACAAGATTGTATAAAAATAAAACAAATCCCTTTATTTGTTCTGAGGTAAAAATCCAAAAAAGTGGTAAAAATTTTGACTTTTTTGCTTTAAGTTTGAATAATTTTTTGCAGTTGTATTAAATCAACCCAAAAATAGTCACATCGTGTTTGCCTAAATTTTTCCTTTCCGAGAAGTACCCACTTCATATACTTAATCGAAGTTTGAATATTGTCACTCCGCAAGCGTTTTTGCCAAATTTTCGACGCGCACTACGCGCAAAAGCATTTAGTTGTTATCAATTGGCACCCGCGCGTTCATCATAAATTTCAAACAGCTATAACTCAGCGAGATTATGTCCGTTCTAGCTCATATTTTCACACTAAATAGAAAATAATGTGATCTTATTGCTGACAAAATATGGATATAATTACTTTATTTGCCTTAGAGTAATAAACTGTCAAAGTTTAAAACGCG